TTTCTGCTTGAGATTTCATATGAGGAATTGATGGTCTTTTCCACAGTCAGCTCCTGGCTTTGTTTTGACTGATGATATTGAGCTTCTCCATTGCCTCTTTCTACAAATATAGCCAATTTGATTTCTGTGTATTCCATCTGGAGAAGTCCATGTGTATAGTTGCTGTTTATGTTGTTGAAGAAAGGTATTTGCAATGAGTAAGTTATTGGTCTTGCAAAATTCTGTCATGCAATCTCCTGTGTAATTTCTATCACCAGTGCCATATTTTCCCAGTACTGATGTTTTTTCTTCCTTGTTTCCAACTTTTACATTCTACTCACCAGCAATAATCAATAAACCATGATTGCATGTTTGATCAATTTCAGACTGTAGAGGTTGCTAAAAATCTTCAAGTTCTTCATCTTTTGCTTTGGTGGTTGATGCATAAATTTGAATAATGGTCATATTAACTGGTCTTCCTGTAGGTATATAGATATTATGCTATTATTGACAACATTGTACTTCAGGATAGATCTTGAGATGTTCTTTTTGATAATGAATGTAACACCATTCCTCTTGAATTTGTCATTCCTGGCATAGTAAACCATATGATTGTCTGATTCAGGATTCCAATACTAGTCCATTTCAGCTCACTAATGCCTAGTTTATAGATCTTTATGCGTTTCATTTAATTTTTGACAGCTTCCAATTTTCCTAGATTCATGCTTTGTACATTCCATGTTCTGATTATTAATGAATGTTTGCAGCTGTTTCTTCCAAGTTTGAGTCATGCTGCATCAGCAAATGAAGGTCCCTAAAGCTTTACTCCATCAGCATCATTAAGGTCAACTCTATTTTGAGGAGACAGCTCTTCCCCAGTCATATTCTGAGTGCCTTACATACAACCTCAGGTGCTCATCTTCTGGTACTTATCAGATAGTGCTTCACAGCTCTTCATAAAGTTTTCCAGTAATACATCAGACGGTGTTTTCATTGCTATTCATAAGGTGTTCAGTGACCAATTCTTTTTTTTTAATTGGGATTTGGGGAAAAGTTAACAGAGCAAATTCATTTTCCATACAGCAGTTCATATACATTTTGTTTCATGACATTGACTGCAGTTGCCCACAATGTAACAGGTCTCTTCCCACTTCCTCCCTGTAGTTACCCCTTCTGTGTGTCCTTCCCTCCCATGCACTCCCACCACCTGAGCTATCTCCCTGTGCAAATACTGCCCTTCTGTTCTCCCATGATTGATCACTCCAAGGAGTGTATCTATCTGATGTCAGTGTTCACCCCATATGCCTGCCTGTTGTTAGGCAGGAGTGAGTTCAGTTCTAGCCCTGAAGGGTAACGAGGGGCCATAGTCTCAGGGGTCTCACCAGGTTCTATCAGACCAGCAAACCTGGTTTTTTTTTTTTTTTTGGTGATTTTGAGTTTTGTTCCACATTGTTCTCTCACTCCATCCAGCATCTCCTGCCAGGATCCCCCTCCAGGTAGTTGACAGGGGTAGCTGGGCACCATCTAGTTCTTCTGGTCTCATGGTCATGTAGACTGAGGATCACATGGTCTACTAGTCCCTTGGACTATGTTTCCATGTGTCTTTGGTTTTCTTCATTCTTCTTTGCTCTGGATGAAGAGAGACCCATATTGCATCTACATGGCCACTTGCAAACTTTTAAGATCCCAGTGGCTACTCACCAAAGTAGGATGTAGAATAATGTTTTTGTGTAGAATGTTATGCCAATTGAACTTAATGTCCCCTGGGACCACGGTCCCAAGTCCATGGTCAAACTACTTGTTCCCTCATTGTAGCTGGCTGAGGCCTAGAAGCCACCATGGCCTTGCCCTGTGTCAGCTCTACTATAAACTCAGACATTCTTACAGCTCATACATGTAGAAACATTGTCTGGTAACTCTATACATGGTCATGGGCACACTCCTCCCTGCCTAGACATACCTGATCATTCAGCCTGTCCACCCATCTATCCACCCATAGATCAATGCTTGCCATCACTGGCAATATAGTACTATACACGCAGAAGGGTTGATCTTTGTTGTCTGTACTTCCTGTGTACTTCTCTGTGTCTTCCTCTTCCTCAGTGCCACCGTGTTGATCACTCACTTTTGGTACATTGTCAATGGCTAGTTCTTTCAGAAGTGGATGACCCCGTCCTTCTTCCCAGTCTGCCTTTGTCTGGAACCTCCACTGAAACCTGTCCACCATGGATTACCTTGCTAATATTTGAAATACCAGTTGCATAGCTTCCAGCCTCATAGCAACACACAAGCCACCTTAGTATGACAAACTAACAGATGAATAGTGGTTTCTGAAGATAGCAGCTACAATATGAGTGTTACATTTTTCAATTTATTTCATTCTTCTAGAGATTTTTTGGAGAGTATGTGACTTCATGTATTAGAAAGAAGCAAGTTTAGCCTCTGAGATACATAGGCCATTGTTAGCAAACTAAATGTTGTTCACGTGATTTCTGTGGCCTTATATTTGGAACAGATGCTATATCCTGATGTTCTCTTCTTCATTAATTCTTCTGTAAAAGCTTGATTGGCCTGCTTACAAATTAAAATTTGTAATTCTTTCTCTATTTGCTCATATTGTTTCAGTGAGTCTTCCTTGTCCAAATTCTACTACCCATTTTTTCTGACCTTTAGGTCTTTGAAGACCTAAAATAATGGTTCTGAAAATGTGGTCCAGGGACCTCTGGAAGTCCCTAGATCCTTGGGACTCATGAGATCAACACTATTTTTGTAATAACACTAAAACATTTGTATTTTTCACTTTGATTCTCTTATGAATGTACAATGACTTTTGAGAGTGTGTTGGGGTCCCAGGACCAAAACAAAATTGAGAATTATTGCTTTAAAGATGTCTCCTGGGCCAAAGGTATATTGATTTTAGTGATTTTACATTTTTTTAGTGAGTAAGCATTGTGCTCTAAAAGAATATTTTGCTTTAGAAAGAAGTTGACCAACTTTTTTTTCTCATTTCTGAATATTCTCTTGTAAGAGATATCATGTGTCCTGGTGCTTTCATTAATTAATCTAGTATCATTGAATGTTAATGAGTCAGTAACAGAAGAAAACATTTTGATACTGATAAAGGCTGTCTAAACTTAGTTAACATCTTCCTCATGGCAGAAAGAATTTTTTTTTTTTTAATGACTGCAGTATATATTTCATCTAATTTTGGTCTTCCTATTATCACTTAGAAAGACATGTTTTAGTTAACAGGATTTGGAAATCCCATAGGTTCTTATGACTTGCTGTAGAAATGCTACCAAATACTAAAAGTGGCTTAGGGAGAAAGAAACAAAAGAAAAATACAGTTTTATGCCTGGCTTGCACATAAAGTTAGGTTATAGAAGTGTCAGCATTGACAGTGATTTTTTTCCACATCCACAGGCATTACCTCACCTTCCTGGGTAAATGATTTTCATATAAAACACGGCAGTATTCATTCATTCACTCATTCAACAAATATTCAGGCTGTTACTGATATGCTTGCTCAAAGGTCTTGGATGGACGTTGGGACCTGGATATTTCTGAGGCTTTGAGATCCACAAAAAAGCTAAAAGCATTAAGTTATCTATTAAATGCTAAGGGCTTAAATTCTCTTGAGTTTAGATAATTAGACTATTTTAGGGTACATTACTATATCTTTATAGATTACGTAAATCACAATTGAGTAGCACATAATAAACACTCAGCTTTGAATTTCTGGGTCTAAGTACAAAGCATCCATCGTCACGTCTCCCCTCAGACTCCCCTAATCAATAATCAATCGGCTGTCTTTGTCACTGAGTCAGAAACCTCAGCACAGGACTAAAAGGAACCAATTGCAGTTGATCAGAACTGATACTCAAGAAACAAACCTGTTTTCTGCTTTGGGATTCTGCCCTATTTTTAGTCTAGGGCCATGTAGGAATTGTAATGATCTAAATCTACAGGCAGTTTTTTTAGTTTGAAATGTCTAGAAATAATCTAGGGCAGAAAAGGAAGAGTGGCAATAAAAGACAGGTTAGTCATTTCAAAATTTATCCAGTATATCTCCAAGGAAAAAATAAAAAGTTTATTGAAAAAATAAAATGGTATTTCTAAGTTTGTGTGTGTGTGTGTGTGTGTGTATGCACAAAAAAACAACCAGAATTACAACTAGAATCGGTTTCCTTACTTTTTAGGCACAAGTACGCTGAGGTCAGTCCTAGAAAGCCAAGTGATGATGTCTAGAGATTCCTTGAAGACAAGCAATTGAACAAATTCAAATGGAGATCTGTCCTGGCCTTTTTTTATTCCTGCAGCCTAATTTAAAAATTGTGGAGCACTGGAGTGGTGGATTCAAATGCTTACCCCAAATAAGTTAGGATGACCTTTTAAGCAAAAGATAGGCATTAGAGGCCTTGGCATCCTTTAGCTTTTAGAAAATATTTGGCTAGGAAAAGGTTTGTCTTCCCATCCTGACAGATATGATTTACTTTTATGTCATTTTTGTTGCTTAGGAGAACAAAATCACTACATCCTTTTCATGGGATATGTCATTAAAAAAAAAAAAAAAATCTTACCTGTGCATTCAACTAACTGCTTTCAAAATGTCAGACTTAGCAATTTTAAAACATGATACTGCAGCACACATGCTATGTTTGTTTTGTCCTGTCATGTAGATTATTAAAATTCTTGGCATCAGTAATATATACAGATCAACTTGTAGTGAGCATTCCCTTTGATTTTCTTTGGTTCATTGGTAATACTGATCAAAGACCTTCACACAGAGATAAGATTGATACACTGTCTAGCATATATTCTAACCAATGCTTCTCAAACTTGAATGTGTATAAGAATCACCAAGGGATCTCGTTAAACTGCAGGTCTGATTCAGTAGGCCTGGGGTTGGTCCTGGGCTGTGCCTCTCTGACAAACTGTGCTACTGGTCTGCAGACCACACTTTGAGTAATTGTACTCTTACATTTAAACTTCTGAATTTGTTTTGTTTTCACTCTAACAAGGTTACAAAGACTTCAGGTTTGAGGCCAATGGAACCAAAAGATGTCAGAGCAGTTCGAGAATTAATCAACAGTTACCTGAAGCAGTTTCATCTAGCCCCAGTGATGGATGAAGAGGAAGTAGCCCACTGGTTTCTCCCCCAGGAACATATTATCGACACGTTTGTAGTGGAGGTAAAGATAAGGTGTTAAGATAGTTCAGGGAAGTGTGAAAATACTGTACAATTCTCTTTTTCTAGGAAGATCATATCCTGTCCATTTCTTTTTCTTCATGGTTTATTGCCTTTATACCTGATTTCTGTCCATCCTGATACAGCCAGATTTTCTTCTGACAGTTTCCATTCCTGGATAAGAGCAGAGTTTTACTACTTGTTAATGAGAAATCAGGATTCTTTACTGTTGTTACCTGTGTTATTGATTGCCTTTCTTATTTTTGAAAATAGGTAATTGGGAGGATTTCATCAGCTATGGAGAAATCCCAGATTTATTGCTTTTCTGAAATTGGGTAGAACAGAATTGTCTTCAGTTGAGATGGCATTGTTCAACTTTGTTAGCGCAGATCTCATTCATTAGCTCCCTCTCTATCCTGGGAAGGAAGGAAAAGGAAGAGTCTAGATTTTTTGAGTATTGGTTAGATTAATTTAGCATAGTGGCTTTTAAACATATTCTTTAAAAGCTTGAACTTTGGTGTTCAAATGACGCCTTACTTGGAAGCTCTTTTGGTTGAAATGGGATGGGTTGAGAAGTTAGAGTTTAATCTGGTAAATGCCCGGAGGGCAGAAGAGAGCCAGGAAGTCCTCCAGGAATCTACTATAAGGGTCCATTCACCATTCATTTCTAAGCATTGAGATGGAAGTGTATACTCAGCACTGTCAACTGTTCTCTGAAGTAGGATGAATTAAGGTAGTAATGGTAAGAGTGAGCAGTGTGAATTCAAAGGACATTTCTGAACAACAATTAAGCAGTCTTTGTTTCTAAATTGCTATTTCTAAAACAATGCTAGAGTAGACATCTTTGTACACAAATCTTTATGCATGTGTGTAAGTTTCTTCAAGGCAGCAGCTCCTAAAACTTTTTGATCTCGGGTCTTCTTTACTTTCTTGAGAATTATTAAAGATTTTATTTACCATATTCAAAATTAAAACAAAAATTTTAGAAGATTTATTATTTTATTTAATAACAGTATACCCATAATAAATCCATCCTATGTTACCTAAATAACATTTTTTTAAATTGTGATAAAAATGTATGTGCAAAACAAAACACTGTACAATTCAGTGATACTGATGACATTCTTGAAGGGGTACAACCATTCTCCCTGACCTCTTCCAAATTATTCTACCACTGTTAACATAAACTCAGTACCCTCTAAGCAGACCCCACTCCCCTTTCTCCCTCCATCCCACCTCTGGTGACTAGTAATAATCTTTAGTTTTACATATTTGTTTATTTCATATACATGAGATCATATAGTATTTGTCCATTTGTAACTGACTTATTTCACATAGCATGATGTTGTCAAGATTTATCCATGTTGTGGCGTGCATCAGGACTTGATTTATGTTTATGGCTGAGTAGTTGTTACAGATTGAATTGTGTTCTCAAAAAATATGTGTTATAAATCCTAACCTCTATGACTGTGGTTATAATCCCATTTAGGAATTGGTTGTCTTTGTTATGTTAATGTGATAGGATTAGTATTGAGGTATGTCTTAAATCAATCTTCTGGAGATATAAAAGAGTTTAAACAAGTGAGAGAAGCAGAAATGGGAGAAAATAGATGCCATGCCACATGAAGATCACCAATGAGGACATTCTTCCAGAGCTGACAGAGAGAGAAAGCCTTCCCCTAGAGCTCGCACCCTGAATCTGGATTTCTACCCTCCTAGAGTATAAGAGGGAGCTCTGGTAGCATAGTGGCTAAGACACTTGCCTGCTAACCAGATGGCTGGCGGTTCAAACCTACCAGCCACTCCTCGGAAGGAAGGTTGGGCAATCCTACTTCCGTAGTGATACTGCCTCGGAAACCCAAGGAGGGGTCGCTATGAGTCGGGGCTGACTCCACGGCACATAACAACAACAACAACAACAAAGACTATAAGAATATAAATTTCTGTTTGTTAAATCCACCCACTTGTGATATTTCCATTATAGTATCACTAGATAACTAGGATGGTAGTATTCCATTGTTTATTGTTTATCCATTCATCTATTGATGGACAATTCAGTTGTTTCCACCTTTTGGCTGTTGTGAAAAGTGCTTCAATGAATATCGGTGTATAGGTTTCTGTTTGCATTCTGTCCTTCGGTTCCTTAGGATTGGGATTCCTGGGTCATATATTCAGCTTTTTGAGAAACTGCCACACTGTTTTCCACAGTGGCTGTACCATTTTACATTTCCACCAGCAATGGCTGAAGGTTCCAGTTTCTCCATACTTTACCAACACTATTAATACCAACACCTATTACTTTCTGTTTTTCTATCATTGCCATTCTAATGGGGTGAGATGATACCTTGTTGTAGTTTTGATTTGTATCTCTCTAATGATTAATATCTTTTCATGTGCTTATTGTCTTTTTTTTTTTAAATTGCGATATGAGTGAAAATTTATAGAGCAAATTCACTTTCCATACAGCAGTTCACATATATTTTGTCTCATGACATTGACCACAATTTACACAATGCAATAGCTCCCCTCCCACTTCCTCCCCATAGTTACCTCTTCCTTGTATCCATCCCTCCGTGCACTCCTGCCCCCTGAGCTGTCTCCCTGTGCATAGGCAGCCCTTCTTTCTCCCATGATTGTTCTTTCCAAGGAGTGTATCTACTTGAGGTAAATGTTCAGCTTATATGCCTGTCTTTTGTTTGGCTGGAAGCCACAGGT